AAAGCAATTTCTCTGACCAAACCTTTTATAGTTATTTTCAGATCCTTTCTGTTTTCCCTTTTCCCTCACAGTTTTTTTCTTTCTTTAAATTTTACATCATTTAGAGAAAGAGATTAAGCAAATTCTCGTCTTCTAGTGTGTCATTTCCCACGTACCAGAAAAAACAGTACTAGTAACAGTTACTGACCCTTGTGGAACCCCATTTTTACACTTTCTCACCCTGTCACCCTTTTCTTGTACAATTATTCTTTGTTTCCGTTCCCTCGGTGTGTTCTTCGGTAAAACCATAGTGCATTCCATGTTTGGTACTTGCATGTTCCTCGAGATTTTTCCCAGTCCTTTGGGGTTTACAGTATCAAATGCTTTCTTTCAGTCCAAAAGAATATGCGGTCCATCCATTCCTTTCTCCTGCCTCAACTTCTCTGTATTTTTACAGAACTCCAGCAGGTTTGTCAGCCAAGATTTCCCCACCTCTGAGCCCGTGCTGGCTACTGCGAAGGGAAAAACTCCATCACTCTCTGATTACTTCTCCATTACTTTACACAGCATGCATGTCAATGATACTTAGTCAGTGTTTAAACCTTCCCTGTTTCTCTCTGAAATACTGGGAACACTTTTCATTTATCCTTTTAGATCTCTAGCTACTGTCTCATACATTGACTCGAAGATAGTAATGATGGTTCACATAGTCCTGTTGTTCCCTTGTGGAGAATCCATGATAACCCCTGTAAGGTCCCTTGTTGTTTTTTGATATAAAAAAACTCAGTCACCCCTTCGCATTACATATAAATATCACCAACTACACACTAGCAAAAACTATCACCATCTAATACAGGACAAAACTAATCACCTAACAATACTTTGACCAAAACTATACCACTTTCATACTAGACAAAACTATCACCACTACATACTAGACAAAAAACTATTTTTTACCACTGCATAACTAAACAAATAACTAATCACTACACACACTAGGAAAAACTATCACCATACATACTGACAAAACTATTACCCCTACAATAGACAAAACTATTTCACCACTACACCCAAGACAAAACTATCACCACTACACACTAGACAAAACTATCCCCCACTACATACCATACAAACATATCCCACTCATACCATACAAAACTATCACCATACCCTACCATACAAAACTATTTACCACCTACATACCATACAAAACTATCACCACTACATACCATACAAAAACTATCACCACTACATACCATACAAAACCATCACCACTACATACATACAAAATTATTACCAAAACATACCATCAAAAACTAAACACCACTACATTCCATACAAACTAACACCAACTACATTACCCTACAAAACTATTTACCACTACTACCATACAAAACTATCACCCCTACTTTTACCAACAAAACATCACCACTCTACCATACAAAAAAAAAACCCTAAAAAACTATCACCACACATAAACCATACAAAAAAAAACTAAAAACCTAAAAAACATACCAAAATCCCAAATAAAAACTAAAAACCCTACACAACTAAAGAAAGTGACCCCCCACACTGTTTTTTCCACATATTATCCCATAAGTCAAAAAACCATGGCAATTTTTTTGGTGTTATTTTATTTTGTGTGGGGAGCTAAACCCGCTAGGGTTATTGGAGCCCTTTACCGTTGTTAGAAAGGGGGATTTCAAAAACCCAACTATATTTCATTATTATATATTTTTTTTATAAAAGGTGCTGTCCCAAAGAAAGTTCATTATTATAATCAAAAAAAAAGGCGAAAGCCACAAGAGCATACAGCGCTGCTCCAAAAAAGTTAAAAAAGGTAATATATTTTTTTTTTGTTTTACCCCCCTTTTTATTATAAAGGGGCGCTAACTACCAAGAAGTTTAAAAGGTGAAAAGAAAATTTAAAAATTTAAGTTAGTTTTTTTCAAGTAAGTAAGAGTTACATTTGGGGATCATCCTAAGGTAAAAACTGGGGCCCGAGAGGTACTGTCCTTTTTACTTAAGAACTTTTGACCCAAGTTCTTCCGGGGGGTTATCCCGGCGTCCCTGATATTTTAAAATTTTTATTTTTAATTTCTGGTTTTGAGCCAAAAAAAATGATTAAAACCAAAGAAAATGTTGAAACCGTCCGGTATTTTCTGTCGCGCTTCGGCACTCTAAATTTGGGTGCAGCTCGGCACATTTCTTGTTTAACGTTTAACAGCGCAAAGGAGGTTGGGCCCCGGGGCCTACGGTGTGTGCAAACTCGGCCGGGGGAGTAGCATCCAAAAATACCGGGGTAAAAAAAAACTTTTTGAGTACCGGACAAGCGTGGAGAGCCTTTACGGAGGTTTAGGCCTGGAAGCACTGAAGGTTTATTCCAGGCATCAGAAAAAAAAATCGCTGTATGTCTGAGGGCTGCCCATCGTAACGGGGAGATGCTGGTTTCCTGGGAATCACTTAAGAGGGGGAAAACCTCTCACCCGGGGGAAAATCTCCAAATTGAAAACCCAGGGTGTGGGGGACACCCTGGAAAAGATGCACGCCCGGGGATGGATTCACGTAGATGTTAAACCGACAACACTGCGTACAAAGGACTTCGAAGGGGGGCGTCCAGTAGGCTAAGCTGATTGACTTCGGGTTAGCCGTCCCGAGAGAGTACAACATACGACTTTCGAATCCCGAGACCGAGTGCTGGCATGTGGCCACCCTAAGTCATGCACAACGAACCTTTCAGACCATGGCAGCCCGACTTCTTCACAGCGTTGGACGCCTCCTGGCAGAAGATAGATAGCAAACATATTGATCTTAACGCACCCATCAGAATAGTGGATTCGAGAGGCCGTGTCCGCAGAGGCCTTACACGGCGCCTTGGATTTATACGTCGTGTCTGAATTTACTCACCCGTATGTTTATTCCCACCGATGTGAGTCTCTTAACACAAGTTCTTTAGTGGTCACACTGAACCGACAAAAAAGACAAAAAAATGTAATTTTAGTGCATTTAAAACGGATAAATATTACTTTTTTATGAGTTTAATAATACATTATTTATGATCTAATATATTTTAAGGAATTTGAGATGTTTTATTTATGAGAAGACAATTATATTTATATTTATAATGTACCAGTTGAATTGTATGACCCCCATCTACTACTGAACTCAGTTGATTGTATGAGCCCCCCCATCTCCTACTGACGTCAGTTGATTGTATGATACCCCCATCTAACTACTGACTCGGGTTAATTGTATGACCCCCATATACTACTTGACGTCAGTTATTGTATGACCCCCATCTACTACTGAGCATCCATTTATGATGTATGACCCCCATCTACTACTGACTCAGTTGATTGTATGACCCTCATCAACTACTGACTTCAGTTGATTGTATGACCTCCCCCATCACTACATGACTCAGTGATGTATGACCCCCAGCTACTATTGACACTTAGTTGAATGTATGAGTTTAGAGCGCTTCAAGAAAATACAATCAACCTCTTCTCTATAATATTACATTACTTTAAAATGTTTCCCCCCTTCCCTGCATTATAACAACTGCTAAGTTACTTATAAACTTAGAAACTTATAATATACTTCTTTTCTTTTCTGATTTCCACCCAAGTTAACTTTC